ATGAAGTTATGACATAACCTTATGTTGGTGAATCCCCTTTCCAACTGACATTGTTCTTCTGCATAAATCTTCAAGTTTCCAGCCCATCTAACCCCATGGGACTCTGGAAAAAAATACAAAGAGGGCATGAGTGAGGACATCCTCCACGTAGCTAAATAACAAAATACAAACCTCGACGTCACATTTTCTGATGTATTCTTCAAACAGGCCCTCATCCTCCTTTAGGACAAACTGCACTCCATTGGTGGAAAATACCTCATGTCTATGGGATTACCAACACCCTACAGGGACAACCTGCATGCCCTTGCTCAAGAGAGCCTACGTTAAATATGCTATTATGCTTTACAGCTTCTTAAATTTATTTAGGAAAATAAACCAAAGCTCCTGGATGCACAAATAGAAGCCTACACGAAAATCTTGGAAGAAATTGAGACTAAAAATCGAGTCTTTTTATTCCTTGATGCACCTGCCAGCACTGGGAAGACCTTTGTTTTCAAACTACTCCTCGCTAAGGCTCGCCAGAGAGAGAAAATTGCTCTCGCTGTGGCATCATCGGGGATTGCTGTGTAAGTCGATGTGTGTGTGTCAGTCGATGTGTCTGTGTGTTTGAGTCCATATGTGTGTGCGTTTAGGTCCATGTGTGTGTGTAAGTCCATGTGTGTCTGTATTTTTTGCCCGGGCAACGCCAGATGTGTGTGTGTGTGTTAGTCGATATATGTGTGTAAGTTCAAGTGTGTATGTCAATCCATGTGTGTGTGTCAGTCGCTGTGTGTGTGTGTTAGTCGGTGTGTGTGTTAGTCGATGTGTGTGCATGGCTCCATGTGAGTGTTTAAGTCACTTTGTGCGTTTTTGTCTATGTGTGTGTGTGTAAGTCAATGTGTGTGCGTGGGTCCATGTGTGTGTGTAAGTCCATGTGTGTGTCTCTTAGTCGATATGTGTGTGTGTAAGTCTATACGTGTGCTTAGGTCAATGTGTGTGTGAGTCTACGTATGTGTGTGTGTGAGTCCAATTGTGTCTGTGTAAGTTATAGTTTCATAGTTAGTTTCATAGTTTCATTTATTTGGTATAGCCCTGTGAGCCATTCGGCTCTTGAATCGGGTGCAACTGCAACAAACAAAAAAACAAAAACACGAACAAGAAAACATCTTAAAGTGACTTTGTGCATGTGCAAACATAAAATCCAGGAAAAAACATCAAAATATTCCTAAAATAGCACCGTACACCAACGCTGTGTGCAAAAATCCCAGTGGGATGCAAGTCAAACAACAACAACAAGAAAACTTAGATTAAGGCCATCAGTCTAACTCCGTACTACAATAAACAAAAACATGGCCAAACCAAAAAACTTTTAGAAATCACCAAAATAAAGCCATGAATGCAATGTAACAGTGATCATAGGAACTGTGACCGAATTTTTAACAATAAACTCCATAAATAACATGTAACACCAAACCCTATAGCCACAGCTGGCTGCAAGAGTCACTCCACAAACAACAGGAGCATTTGATTGGCCGATTTTTACGCTAATTTCTTTGTCAGGACACCTTGTTTGCTCGCACACAGTTTAAAGGTCCGCGGTCTGAGCGTGGTTGTGTTTCGCTAAATTCTCCTGTTTGATTTGTACTAGGTGCCTCGGAGAATGTATATGCTCTGACTTTAACATAGCTATTTCTGTGACCAGTTACAAGCTAATCACTCAGCTATTTCAATGCTAAATTCTATGCTAATTCCTTTGTCAAGGGGTGCCTCTGCGGATGTGTATACTTTAACTTAGCTATTTCAATGAGCCATTTCAATGCTAAATTATATGCTAATTCCTTTGTCAAGGCGCTTTGTTTCTTCTCACACAGCTTAAAGGTCGTGATCTGAGCGTGGCTTTTTTCTCTCCAGCGCTGTCCTCCAGACGGTCTCGTCCCTTCGCCTGATGGGGGCCGCTTGTGTTGTGGCCGAAACATCGTGATTTTTGTTATTTTATTTTTTGCCTGCGTGACTTTGCCCAATAGAACCAAAGAGTATGTATGCTCTGACTTTAACATAGCTATTTCTGTGACCAGTTACAAGCTAATCACTCAGCTATTTCAATGCTAAATTCTATTCTAATTCCTTTGTCAAGGGGTGCCTCTGCGGATGTGTATACTTTAACTTAGCTATTTCAATGAGCCATTTCAATGCTAAATTATATGCTAATTCCTTTGTCAAGGCGCTTTGTTTCTTCTCACACAGCTTAAAGGTCGTGATCTGAGCGTGGCTTTTTTCTCTCCAGCGCTGTCCTCCAGACGGTCTCGTCCCTTCGCCTGATGGGGGCCGCTTGTGTTGTGGCCGAAACGTCGTGATTTTTGTTATTTTATTTTTTGCCTGCGTGACTTTGCCCAATAGAACCAAAGAGTATGTATGCTCTGACTTTAACATAGCTATTTCTGTGACCAGTTACAAGCTAATCACTCAGCTATTTCAATGCTAAATTCTATGCTAATTCCTTTGTCAAGGGGTGCCTCTGCGGATGTGTATGCTTTAACTTAGCTATTTCAATGCTAAATTCTATGCTAATTCCTTTCCTAGATTTAAAGCTTTCGTGACTGCAAGGATCCATACTCTTTGGTTCTATTGGGTAGAGTCACGTGGGTGAGGGGTAGGATGGCAGGGGTCGCGACGTTTCGACCACAACACGGGCGGCCTTCATCAGGTGAGGGGACGGGACTGTCTGGAGGACAGCGCTGGAGTGAAATTTCTTTGTCAGGACACCTTGTTTGCTCGCACACAGCTTAAAGGTCCGCGGTCTGAGCTAAATTCTCCTGTTTGATTTGTACTAGGTGCCTCGGTGAATGTATATGCTCTGACTTTAACATAGCTATTTCTGTGACCAGTTACAAGCTAATCACTCAGCTATTTCAATGCTAAATTCTATGCTAATTCCTTTTTTCAAGGGGTGCCTCTGCGGATGTGTATACTTGAACTTAGCTATTTCAATGCTAAATTCTATGCTAATTCCTTTGTCAAGGGGTGCCTTTGCGGATGTATATGCTTTAACTTTAACATAGCCATTTCTGTGACCAGTCACAAGCTAATCACTCAGCCATTTCAATGCTAAATTATATGCTAATTCCTTTGTCAAGGCGCTTTGTTTCTTCTCACAGCTTAAAGGTTGTGATCTAAGCGTGGCTTCTTCCACTCCAGCGCTGTCCTCCAGACAGTCTCGTCCCTTCACCTGATGAAGGCCGCTTGTGTTGTGGCCAAAACGTCGTGATTTTTGTTATTTTATTTTTTACCTACGTGACTTTACCCAATAGAACCAAAGAGTATGGATCCTAGCAGTCACGAAAGCTTTAAATCTAGAACATGAGATGTCATTTTTGACACAATGAATGTACATTTATGTTTGTGTGCATACTAATTTTACTATTCCTTCGCTCCACTCATGTACACACAAACCTGGTATTTTAACAATCGCCTTGTAAATAATGACATTTTCGATTGTGTGCTCACAACTCAATTTATTTATACATTCCTCTGCGTTGATATATTTATTGTGTCAAATCACGTTCATAGAAACATTTTTTTAAAATAATCACCTGCCAAATATTACAATCATAATGTTTGTGTGCAGACAAATAATTTTTCTGTTCCTTGCTTCTTCCGCTAAACGCATGTACATTTAAAGTGTGTGCAAGTCGATGTGTGCCTGTCTTTTTTGCCCGGGCAACGCCGGGTACTTACCGCAAGTATATTATAAAAGCCCGGCGTTCCGTTTGTCCATCATAAAAATGATGAGCCTTTCAGAAGACCTGAATCAAAAAGTTATAGAAAGTGGGTGTACAAAGTTGATCTAAAGGTTTCCAAATGTTGTCGACCCCCCCTTCCCATATTTCCCCACCCACCCACCCATTTTTTAAAATTTATTTTGCAGGCATAAATATCTACACACCTTACAAACAATAGAAAAGTAGTCTATAGTGACTCTACAGTAGTTTCTACCGAATCTACAGTAGTATCTACTGACTCTACTGTTTACTGACTATAGTAGTATTTACAGACTCAATAGTATCAACCGACTACAGTAGTACCCGCCTCTACAGTCGTATCTACTGACTGCAGTAGCAGCTATTGACAACAGTATATACTGACAACACTAGTATTTACCGACTGGAGTAGTACCTACTGACTATAGTAGTATCTACTCACTCTTGAGTAGTATCTACTGACTATTGTAGTAAATGCACGCATTGGGGTGGGGGGAGGGGAGAAGAGGATATCACACTGTTCAGGATTTACCTCAACGTGTTTGTGCAGCAGCAACTGTGCTTGATTTTTTTCCTTTTTGCCATTTTTAACGCAAAGGAGAACCTCCCTCCCGTCGCCTCTCAGAAAGCTTGTTTGCGTTGCTAGGGGCAACCGCGAGTTGGTGTTTCCGCACATGCGCAGATGCGTGCTCTGGTGCACGCTCAAAGTGAACTCATTCCTGCGGAGGGAGCTGGTAGGAACGTTGGGTTGCTCGGTCAATGGCCAGGGTCAACAGCGGCGTGGTGTATTCCACAAATATGCCCAGCTGTGAGGGCAGGCACAAACCGGCGTGAGTAGTTTAAACGTTGAGTTTTATAAGGGCACCACGGGGTGACCAGCCCCTCCCCATCCAGCCCCACCCCTCCCACCACCCACTCAGCCCAACCCTCCCCACCGAGCCCCTCCCCACCCTCCCCACCCAGCCCCTCCACTCCCCACCCTCACCTCCCGACCTAGCCCCTCCCTCCCCACCCAGCCCCTCCCCATCCTCCTCTCTCCACCCAACCCCACCCTTCCCATTTTTGGATGCAGGGCGGACGGACAGAATAATCCCCTGTGGGCTGGTGTAACCAGGAGGTTCCTACCAGTATCATTACGATCAGCGTACATTGTTACAAAGTGTGATTTTCTTAGTTTATATCGGGTGCTTAGTTTGTTGAAACGTAAATCCAACAGTTTGTCAGTTAAAAGCGTTACGAGGATAGGCATACGCAGACAGCCAGGCAGACAAAAAAATACGTTTATAGGCAAGATAACATAATTAGCGTTGTGGAGAAAATCTCATTCATGTAACTTTTCAGTGTTTTTCCTTGTATATACTAGATTCGTGATTTCGAAGACAATGAGTTGAGGAATATGCTTCCTAAGCTACAAAAAATACCTTTGACCCTGTATCACATGAACAACAGCAGTCATGTAAATGTTCCACACAGGTTACTGTCAAAACAAATGTTCGTCTAGTTAGGACATTCCATTTTTGACCGTTGTATACGAAATGGTACGTACAGCAAAATCTCTGCTATCACGTACTTCACCATCCGGAATGCTCTATTAACTGGCATCTTGACAAAAGCGGCAATATAAATATTCCTTCACGTATCGGGAAAAATTCTGGCATCTTGGAGCGTGCTTCATGATGTTGGTCAGTGGTGGCGCTAATGGAGTCGCAATTGCAATCCGCCATTGTGATCGTGTTGTGGGCTACCGAACCTAATTGTTTCACTGTACTTGTACATACAGTACTGCACTACTGTACACTGTAATCTATACAGCACCACTGCTGCTCTACAAATGACTGGTACCTCTGTAAAAGTAAATTATTTTTCATATCATAGTTGAAATGTATGCTTAATTGCTTCCTTGAATTTTTTTTATACTTCAGAAATTTGCTGAACCATAAAGTATACCTCAGATAACCGGCATATTTGATGAACGGGCACTCTCGATTCCCCATGGATGCTGGATAAGAGATTTTGCTGTATATGCTCAGAATAAGATCATACGTGTTAAAATTACAACTCTAAATTATCAAGAGATACATCGCCAACATTTAATTATTGCATTGAAATATACTGCATCACATTACATTGCATCTACTGTACACCGATCTCTGAATGGATGATGACTACACCTGCATGCATTCTTAGAATGCTAGAAGCCAAGTGATAGCATGGTTGATATTTGTTAAGAGGTTCACAGTTCACATCTGTCCGGCAGCCCTCATGATTACTGCAGCAATATTGACCAAGAATACGCACCATCTGCTTAACAGTGGATGTTCAACATTCATGGTATCAGTCAAAATTTGCCAGATTCGAAAGATGAGCCACAAATTACTCAACTGGGGTTACACATCAATCATCGCTCCACCCAACTGGCAGACTCATGTCCACGTGCAGGTCGGTATTGAGTCACCTTGTACCACAACTATTGAGATCAAATGATACAAGCCACTGTTAGTTGCTGAAGCATTTCACCTTTGATTAGCAATATTGGCTACGTACAGTGAGAAAGAAATAAAACATTTATGCAAGCGCCAATTATCAATCAAAATATTATAACACGTTGAACGCTATGGAGATTTTTTGTCTCCCACTCCTGCTTACAGATCTACCCAACCTCCAAATTCACACATGCTGGCCGCTTCTACTCTGCATCCTCCAAAAAGTCCACCTCCACAAACTGCTGGGTTTCATTTCACTCAGTTTGCAGCCTCCTCCAGCTTCACGCTGCCTCTTGACTACTTGTAAGTTAAACCCTTGTAATGGGAAAGGCCTGTGAATGCAATTGAACTTCTTTATCCTAAGTTCAATGATACACGTCTACTTGGTCTCCATTTGACTCAGTAGTGCCTAAAAAATCCACCCAGACCTCCACATCCACAAATTTCTGGGAGTTGCCTTGCTCTGCCTCAGAGTCCACAGTCTCCTCTAGCTTCACACTGCCTCCATCGACATTAAGGTCGGATTTTGGAGTTGAATCTTCATCCTCACATTTCACTATCACTTCACTCTTTACAATCACTTCACTCGTCATCTCCACTGATTCAAATTTCACTTTAACTTCTTGACATTTCGCCTTCACTCCTGGCCACGTTTCATATCTCAAATGTTTTTCTGGTTCTTTTTTCATGAGGGATGGACTCATTGCAGCACTTTGATTTTCACAAGTCGATTTCAGATACATTTCCTTATGAATCGTTTGATGCTTATTTCGATCCCCTAACTGTTGAAAACCCTTCCCACACACAGTGCACTTGAAGGGTGTCTCTACTGAGTGACTTCTCTGGTGTATTTTAAGATGTGATGACCGTGCAAATGCCTTACCACACAAAGTACACTTGAAGGGTTTTTCTCCCGTGTGTGTTCTCTGGTGTGTTTTAAGATTTGATGACGTTATAAATGCCTTGCCACACAAAGTACACTTGAAGGGTTGCTCTCCTGTGTGTGTTCTCTGGTGTTTTTTAAGATATGATGACTGTGAAAATTCCTTCTCACACACAGTGCACTTGAAGGGTTTCTCTCCGGTGTGCGTTCTCTGGTGGACCTGAAGAATTGATGAATGTGCAAACGCCTTCCCACACACAGTGCACTTGAAGGGTGTCTCTCCTGTGTGACTTCTCTGGTGTATTTTAAGATGCGATGACTCTGCAAACGCCTTCCCACACATAGTGCACTGGAAGGGTTTCTCTCCCGTGTGTGTTCTCTGGTGGCCCTGAAGAACGGATGACTGTGCAAATGCCTTGCCACACGAAGTACACTTGAAGGGTTTTTCTCCTGTGTGTTTTATCTGGTGTCTTTTAAGATGTGATGAATGTGCAAATGCCTTCCCACACACAGTGCACTTGAAGGGTGTTTCTCCTGTGTGTATTCTCTGGTGTCTTTTAAGATATGATGACTGTGTAAACGCCTTCCCACACAGAGTGCACTTGAAGGGTGTCTCTCCTGAGTGACTTCTCTGGTGTATTTTAAGATGTGATGACCGTGCAAATGCCTTGCCACACAATGTACATTGGAAGGGTTTTTCTCCCGTGTGTGTTCTCTGGTGTGTTTTAAGATTTGATGACGTTAGAAATGCCTTGCCACACAAAGTACACTTGAAGGGTTGCTCTCCTGTGTGTGTTCTCTGGTGTTTTTTAAGATATGATGACTGTGAAAATTCCTTCTCACACACAGTGCACTTGAAGGGTTTCTCTCCCGTGTGTGTTATCTGGTGTATTTTAAGATGTCCTAACTGTCCAAATGCCTTCCCACACACAGTGCAGTTGAAGGGTTTCTCTCCGGTGTGTATTCTCTGGTGGACCTGAAGAATTGATAAATGTGCAAACGCCTTCCCACACACAGTGCACTTGAACGGTGTCTCTCCTGTGTGACTTCTCTGGTGTATTTTAAGATGCGATGACTCTGGAAACGCCTTCCCACACACAGTGCACTTGAAGGGTTTCTCTCCTGTGTGTGTTCTCTGGTGGCCCTGAAGAATTGATGAATGTGCAAATGCCTTGCCACACAAAGTACACTTGAAGGGTTTTTCTCCTGTGTGTTTTCTCTGGTGTCTTTTTAGATGTGATGAATGTGCAAATGCCTTCCCACACACAGTGCACTTGAAGGGTGTTTCTCCTGTGTGTATTCTCTGGTGTGTTTTAAGATGTGATGACTGTGCAAACGCCTTCCCACACACAGTGCAATTGAAGGGTCTCTTTCCTGTGTGTGTACTCTTGTGTGTTTTAAGATGTGATGACTTTGCAAATGCCTTCCCACACACAGTGCACTTGAAGGGTTTCTCTCCCGTGTGTGTTCTCTGGTGGACCTGAAGAATTGATGAATGTGCAAACGCCTTCCAACACACAGTGCACTTGAATGGTTTCTCTCCCGCTGAGTGTCTTTGCTCCATTTGACCGCTTCTGTACAGCAAAGTGGCAGAGGAACTGGCAGCTGCAGACACAAAACAGTAATATCCACACAATGTATGTCAGCATAGAAATGCATATAGTCACACGTGATATCCACATATTATAGACCAGAACACTCAAACATTCATGAAAAATAAAAAAAAATCACCCACATTTGATCACAGGCTGTTTTAAGGCAAGTGCTATTATTGACCATCAGCTCTTGGCCTGGCATAGCAGGCAAGTGGTCAGTATAATGCTTGGAGGCCCTAGTATCTTCAATATCCATGATATCCGATAACTCTACATAAACAGTTTCAGTTGTATCTGGCTGCTGAAATGTTAACTTAAGCAAAATTATGCAAAAAATAGCAAAGGGTGTTAAAATCAACTATTTGCATAGAGCAGAAATTTTACAAAATGGACAAATGAATGTTCAATTTCAAATTGGAAGTCCGAAGCCAGGCTCAGCTTTGGTTAAATACCCAGATGGGCCATTGTGACGTTCTCAAACTACATAACTATTGAATATGCTACGTAATGCATGGGGTCAGAGGGAATTCCTATCACACGCTAAGTTAAACAAGAAAACAGCTCCAACTCCTGATCAAACAGCTTTAGCCGGGCCTGCTCAAAATCATAAAAATCCTTAACGAATGTGAGCAAAAGGGCAGGGACATCGAAAACAAAGAAAAGACCAAAAGCTTAAGCCTCTTTATGGTACCGTTAGCCTTGATTACATCGATAAAGCAGAGGTATAGTTTCTGCTGAACATCAATACATCTGTGCTGTAGCAGATGGGCATAAAATACAGGAGACCCTTGAATATTGCGGGGGTTATAAAGTGCCGTGAAAGCCAAAACAGCGATAATAAATACTGACCTTAAAATTGGGTTACGTAATTGGCAACCAAAAATACACATCACAATTGAAATAAGTAATATACTATATGCTAAATAAACTAAAAACCGTATACAAAAAACATTAAATAAATAGGAGTATAAATACTGAATACTGTACTTACGATGATGTCTGTGCTTGAGTGGGGAGCGGTAGTGCTACGGTGAGTGTGCTGCGCTATGAACCCGGCGACTCGAGTTCGATGCCCACTCACATCCAACACTAATGATCATTATCTGAATTGGCCCTGGGCCTTCTTTAGGTCGACTCAACCTCAAATAAGTATCTGGTGAGTTGTGTAAACATCGCCACTGGGGAGACAAAGTGTGCCGTGCCAGCCTTTATAGGTGCTACTAGAGAAAATACATTTAACCAACTTTCCTTTTCTTGAAGAAACCGTTGTTTCGGAAAATGAAGGACTGACTATCGCAACTGAAGTGAGAAAGCATTTGCAACAGTTGAGTGACTCTTTCCAAGGCTATTTTTCCACGGGAGATCTTGATGTGGCAAATAAATGGAGACTGAATAAATGTATTTTTAACCTTAACGATAGTGATATGATGAAAGATCATCTCATTAAATTACGAGTCAATGATTGAATCCAAATGGAGGTTGAGACAACGGAGCTTGATAATTTCTGGTGTGCTCAACTATCACTGTTTCCACAATTGGCAAAGACAGAGCTGGAGATCCTTGTGCCATTTGTGATTACATACTTGTGTGAGATGGGATTATCATCACTCCTACACATCAAAACAAAGGCCAGAAACTGCTGAAATGCAAGTGATGGCATGAGTGTGGCTATTTCAAAAAGGTTCCTCGTTTTTCGAACATCAAATTAACAAAAGCAACAGCAGAAGAGTCCCTGAGCCGGTGAACTTAAAATAGGGTGTAATTTTTCATGTGTAGAGTAATAGCGCTGGCTGCTGACTGAAAGTGCTAAATATAGTTCATGGCAGTACACATGTCAGCAGGCGACAGTATACACGGGGGGAAGACAACTAGGGCAGAGTTCATGGAGGAGTCCATCTGGAAGCCCTGGGAACCAGCTTGTAGGTTCCAGAAGTGGGGGGGGAGGCATGGCCAGGGCGAGCAAGGCCATGTTGGGAGCATAAGAGGGAGCCCTGGGCGAGAGCTCGGGGCTGTTGCTGTAAGTGGATCCCCTCGCCGTGCTGTCGTCTCGCTAGCTAGACAGCCTGCCAACTGTTCTAGCAAGATAGTGCCGCCAACGATAGACGGTTGTGTGTGATATATAGCGTACACCCATGTAGGGTGCGTGTAGTCCCCATTGTGTGTGGAATAAAGGTGTCTCCAATTACTACCATCTTCGAACTGCGTCACTACACGTGTAGTGACTAACTCGGAGATGATAAAACTTGGAGGCACTTCTTATTTCACAAGCGCCATCGGAGTTAATACTCATATAATTAGTCCATCTATTGTCGGCGATGCAACTGTCAGGACAGTTGGTAGGTTTGCCTGACTGGTGACGCCTCGAGATGGTGAAGACTGAGACGACGACAAGAAGGATGATGAAGACGACAAGAAAAATGGTGAAGACGACGAGAAGAATGGTGACGAAGACTTCAGCAGCACGACGAGGATCCCACTCCAACAACAGCCCCGAGGTCCCCTATAGAGGCCCCTCTTATACTGTCAGTGGCATGGCTCCGCCCCCAGTCACGCCCCCTTTCTGGAACCTACCAGCGGGTTCTTGGTGTGCCCTTTCTGTGACCTTTCCCCAAGATCCCCCTCTGGTGAATAAACTGGCCTGCTGATGTCAGGGCTGCCGTAAGCCGCAGATCCCTTTTCCTGCAAGGAGCCAGCGCTATGCTACTACCCTATGCCACTACACTACTATTCTATGCCACTACACATGTATTCTTAATTATACTGTGAAATAAAAAATATATATAATTATACCTCTTTCATTCTATAGTTGCAATATATCTGAAGTTTAACGAACTGACCTACTTCAAAGATGTGTTATAAGGGGTGCAGGAACATATTTTGAGAACCAAAGGGGTGCAGGTTGCAGCCAAGGTTAATAACCACGATCCTTGATGTATCCAGAAAATTTCCAGTAAGCATCTTGCAGTGTGCTTCAGGACATTGCTGAGTGGTGCCGCAAGTGGAGTCGCAATTGCAAACATCCGCCATTGTGATCGCGTTGTGGGCTACATAACCCAATTGTTTCACTGGTATGTACATACAGTTATCTAAACGGCCCTACTGTTTCTCTACAATCAACGTAAAATGCCCTATAACTGACTGGTGTATGCTTTATTTCTTTATTGCAAAGTTTTTTTTTAATACTTGGGAAATTTGGTGAACCATAAGTATTACTCTCAGATAACCTGCATATTTGATGAACCGTCACATCACATCGTTTTACTACACACTAAATCTCTGACTGGATGATGCCTACACCTGCATGCATTCTTAGAATGAGAGAAGCCAAGTGGTAGCACGTTTGATATTTGTTGAAGAGGTTCACAGTTCAAATGTCTCAGGCAGCCCTAATAACTGCAGAAATATTAACCAAATGTATGCACCATTTGCTTAACAGTGCATGTGTAGTGAGATGACCAGTCAGAGAGCGGGGAGTATAACTTTCATTATGAAAGTCTCTCTCACTCGAAAGACGACCTCCGCACTCCATTTCCCGCCAAAAAGTGCCCCGAGCCCCCTCTCTATCTGCTGACCTCACCTCCCCCCTTCCGGGGGTTTCCCTAGCTTATCGCTATGTCCTCTCCACCGTCTCCTCTTGATGAGGTCACCCTCTCATGGGGGCGGATTCTCACGTAAGTATCTCTACACATGTTCAACATTTATGATGTTAGGGTATAAATTTGCATATTTAGAAAGATTTGCCACAAATTACCCTACTGGGAAATGAGAATAGGTTTTCCCCTTTTATCTGGCAACAAACAGGTGCTAAGATGTTAAAACACCAAACTGAAACCACAAGCATTGTGGTTAATGCAGACATGATTCCTTGTAAAAGGTTTCAGTTTGGTGTTTAGCATCTAAACACCTGTTTTGTTGCCAGAAAAAAGGGGAAAACCTATTCTCATATTTTGGTACTGGCAAAGGGGGTCCCATGATGTAGCCTACTGGATTTATGCATCAATAATCGGCCCATCATACTGGTAGACTCAAGCCCACTTGCAGGTTGGTACCACATAGGACAGCTGCTACTTGGGGTCGCCTTCAAACGAATGAGATTAAATATGATACAAGCTGCTTTTAGTTTCTGAAGCATTTAACCGTTGATAAGCACGGTTGGCAATGTACAGCAAGAAAGAAAGAAAACATGGAACAAGTTAAATTCTAGGGAGCTTTTTTTGTCTCACGCTCCTGGATACAGGTCTACCCACTCTGCACATGTTGTCCGCTCCTACTCTGCATTGTCCAGAAAATCCACCTCCACATCCATAAACTGCTGGGTTTCGTCTCTCTCCCTCAACGCCCACACTCTCCTCCAGCTTCACGCTACCTCCATCGACGACTTGGAGGTTAAACCTTGGAGTCGAGTCTTCAATTCCACATTCTTATAATTAGAAAGGCCTGTGAATTTGGTGAATGCAATAGAACTTCGTTATCTCAAGCTCAAAGATGCACACCTACTATGCCTAAAAAATCCACCCACACCTCCACATCCACAAATTGCTGGGAGGTGCCTCTGCCTCCAGCTTTACGCTGCCACCATCGATATGAAGTTCGGTTTTTGGAGACGAATCTTCACATTTCACAGTCAAATTTCGATGTAAAGCTTTTGTGACTGCAGGGATTCATATTCTTGGTTCTTTCGGTAAAGTCACATAGAAGGGAAAAAATAAAATAATAAAAATAAAACAATAAAATTATCACGACGTTTCGATTGCAACACAAGCAATCATCATCAGGTGTGAAAACCACAGCAAGAAATTTTGAAAAAAGTGGCGGTTATTTTTAACGTTAGCACCACGGACAATAACTAGCGGTTGTTCAGACGGACGAGTCCATCTATGCTCGGAACGGAGGAGGGGGGAGAGAAGGAGAATGGAATGCGGTCTGAAAGTCACTGTAAGCGTGAACACAATCAATCA